GGACAGAGACAAAACGCACTCTCGCCTGCATTTCGCGCCCTCGACACACACGATCTCCGCAGAGGGTTGCGTTTCGTGGTGCTCCGGCGGCAGAAAGGCCGGCCTTAAGAGAGAAAGTAAAGAAGAGCGAGAGGTGAAGATGTGAGGATGTGCAGATGAGCGGAGATGTAGATCTGCAGATGTGAAGATGAGCAAAGATGTACATGTGAAGATGTGAACATGAGCAGAGATATAGGTGAGAATGTGGATGTGCAGAGGTGAAGATGTGAGATGTAGATGTGAGGATGTGAAGATGAGCGGAGATGTAGATGTGCAGATGTGAACATGAGCAGAGATATATATATATATATGAGAATGTGGATGTGCAGAGGTGAAAATGTGAAGATGTAGATGAGACGTAGTTCTGCAGATGTTTTTTTACGAAGAACCCTTCGCAGACGCTCTCGGGAATAACACGAAGCAAGACTATGGCGCAGTTAAGCCGAAAGAGCGAAGATGAATCCAAGGAGGCTCACATGTCATTTTGCACCGAGAACCTTCGGCACCCCTACAGTAAGAAATGGGCACCTTGTGGGTTTGGATCTCGGCTTGGATCAATGAAAGGAGCAACCTTGTCGAGGGCAAAAATATGAGTCTGCACCCAACCCTGCGGAGAATGGCAGCGCCAACAGCAAATGCGAAGAAGAACAATCTATTTTCTGTAATACCCTCACCCTCAACCACCGACAACACCTTTTTGGTTGCATACCTGAAGCTCATTCAGCAGCAGGCCTGACACCCTGCCGAAAACTGAAGGAACAGCTAAGTGTGCTCAAAGGTTTGTTTCCTGCCATGACGGTCAGGGTTGCCTACCTTTCATTCAACACAATTCCAGCTGCTTGGAGTTCGCTCTTGGAACCTATTTCAAACATTTTGGAAAGCAAATTTGTTCTACAGTAAGTGGGTGTCAAACTTGTCTAAGTGGGTGTCCGTCACTATGCAGCAAAGCGCCTCCAATATCAAAGCTCACTGAAATACATGTCACGAGACTTGAGTTGAGACGGCAGCAGGATGCCGACAGCAGGATTGCCACACAGATTGCCCTCTCCATGGACTTGTACTGTCAACATGTACGGCACTGCTTTGAAAACACTGATGCTTGCGCTGCCTGCACCTCTCGTGGTGCCCCACATTTTCGGCAGAAATTCCTGGCCAATCAAACCTTGCAATTTTGCACTGCCTCTTACACGGGCAAACATCTCACTCGATTGCAGCGCCAAGTTAGGATTGCGGAAGGGGACAAGTGTGCAAGGGAATATGCTACGATGCCTGCAAAGCCTTAGCAAGATACCCTGCGTTTAGAATCGCCCGTCACAGCTGCTTCGCTGTTTCGCACCAAGCCGAGGATCTTCCAACGACATTCGTGTGATAGAACACAACTGATGGAGAGTTTTGCTGAACACAAACAAGCTGCAAAGAAACTTGAATACTGCTTGTGATGACCCAAGTCTTCCTCAGTATTGTTGTGGTTTGTGAACGAATTGAAGTCTTGCCAAGATGCGAGTCCGCGGCAAAGGCATTGCCACAGGCTGAACAATTTGAGGCCTCCAGTCTGATGCTTTCGCATCAGAGTTGCGGGAGGCTTAAGAATCTGAGGTAAGAGCTAGCATGCAGTTGGTCAGATACTGGAAAAGCACCCTCAGAATGCGTAGATCAAAAATCAAAGGAATCAGCCAAGACATCAACAGTTGGCAAAAAGTTGGCATTTGCATGGGCTTGTGACGCGTCTGCCACCTTCTGCCTTCTTGGCCGGAAAAGGCCTTCTCGTGATTCACAAATCAGTTTGTCGCAGCCAAGGTGCTGGGTTTCTATGAGGCAAAGCGAACTCAGAATTTGGAAGTCAATCCTTCAAACCTTGTAGTACATGTCCCTCAATGGATTGAAGCTGTCCTGTGCAACTGAAATAACAAAACTCTATAGTATGTGCGTATATGTTTTTTGTAGGTGTATATATATATATGTGTGTATACACAAGGTTCGTTTCCTGATATGATAGCCTCTTGGTGAAAGACTCAGGCCGTCAGTGATTCGCTTCAAATTGGCATGTCCTTCGTTGCATTTGGCTTGAGCCAGAATCATCAGAAGGAAAAGCTACTAGGGGCTCCTGGCAGAGCTACTAGGAGCAAGGACGCTACTAGGGGCTCCTGGCCTTACTACTAGGAGCATTCTTGCTACTAGGAGCAAAGGGCATCGCTACTAGGAACAAACTTGCTCAATCTGCACAACAAAGAAGCTGTGCGCACTTCTCATGCTTTAATCCTTGGCTAGCGGTCTCCCCAAGATCATACCAGAAACAACCATACAGTCCTCCATCATTTGATGGTCTTATTCTTATTGGCTTAAGAGTTGCTCTCACTTGGGCAGCAAATGAGAGCACATCAAAGCTGATTTGTGCAGCCCTTGTCCCCTCCTTCCTACCAGTTGGATCTTTTTTCACGTCAAAGCTGTCCGAGCCATCAACTCAGCCTTGCGTTTATCGAGCACCATTCGATAGGCCTGACGAAGCAGTTCGTAAGAATTTCCCAATGTAAAAATGGAGGCTCAAGCCACGCAAACAAAGCCCCTGAAGTATCAACCAAATACCGGGTTTCAGAATGTTTCAAAAAAGGTGGGCTGCCTGAGAGGCAACACATTGTCATGAGAGCTATGTGCAGACAAATGGTGCACTGTTCAAGCCATGTGACATTTAGATTCTGCACAAGCCTCGGGGTACTTCTCTCGGCCAAGTCTAAGAATGGACCTCTGTCAAGCGAACGGACCCAGATTTATCAAAACGGTTGTAGAACATTGCTCCGCAGACGTGCACCAAGAAGAGTGGCGAAACCTGCTGAGACAAGTTTGACGAACAATGCTGGTTGATTTGTGCATGTCATGTGCGCTCAACTGGGAACTCAACTTTCCAAAGTCTTCACCAGAGGCCTGCAAATCAGCTCAATTTTGATGTTGTTGGTGGTTCAAAAGCTTGCTGCTTTGATTAACATTGAAATGTCCAAGTCTGTTCAGAGCACATCACATACCCTGATCATCCTGGACTGCATTTTTGGCCAGGGTGAGGGCATTCGTCAAGGGCACCTGCATGCACATTTCTTAATGAAAAATGCCGGTCAGGTGAATGGGGTGGCTGGGCTGGGTGGGGAGGTTTGTGGGTCTGGGCAAGCTGCGGGGTTGTTGCGGGTGATGCGGCCAGCCTTGAGGTTCGATCAACATATATACTGTATATAGTATATAATCTAAACGAGATCAAAGGGATGTTCAGCCAGGTTGTTCCTTTTGTGGAGTTGGGGATGGAAGGTGTGCAAAGCTGGGTCAGTGTCAGGATCACTGTGAGCCCCTCGTCAAAAGCGTGTTCCGAGTCCGTCAAAAATGATACCAGCTTGGTTCTTACTGATTGGTTGCCACAAAACACTAAACTGTTTCCCGTGCAAAATATTGAAACTCAGCGGATTGGTGTCATTTTGTGACTGTGCAAATGTTCTTTACGATTAAAGCCGGTGTAGACGGTTCTACCCGAAACTGACCCCACACGAACTAGACTGTAAAAGTGTGAAAAAGGGTGGATAAGCTGGTATCACACACTTGAAGCCAGCTTAGGGCAATCGGTTGAAAAGGTGCGCCAGTGCGTAGTCATGGTCCAAAGAACCAACGATGTTAGACTGCAGCGGACGGCCAACTAAGCATTCTATATTACGCACTTTCCCTCGATATGCAAAAGGGCTGCAGTATTGTCATGCATTTTTCATGATGCTTGTAGCGCTATATACATGAGGTCTGATCTCTATGGAAAATGGTTCGCGCTCCTTCTTGGTGATGTGAGACTCTAAAATGCTTCTTTGAGCTCACTTTGCCACCATAGCCCACATTCTTCCATTCAATCCTTTTCTCTCGCTGCAAGCTTTTGCATTTCTATGAGGAGCTGGGTTCCCAGAGATTGGCGATATCTCTGTCTGTGGTCTATCTCGAAAATCTCTCCTCATGCACATTCTAACAATTCCTTCTCTACCATGTCCGCCGGGCTGCGGGTTTTTCGTTCCCTGAATGGTGTTTTCCCTTCCCGGGAGGCGTTGGCTTCCCGCTCGGGTGTTCTTCCTTCCCTGTGAGTTTCTTGTTCCCCTGGTGTTTTTCGTTCCCGTACGCCGCGGTGTTTTTCGTGCCCGGCTGGTGTTTTTCAGGCCCTGAATGGTGTTTTGTGGGGCCGCTGGTGTTTATTGTTCCCTGAAAGGTGTGTATTGTTCCCAGCGTTCCGGGTTTGTATGAAAAAGTGAAAGGGTGTTTATTGTTCCCTAGAAACTGTGAATTGTTTCCAAAGTCTAGCTTGCGGCCGGCTATCGCAAAAAGAGACAAATAGGAAATGAAAAGAAAGGAAAGGGCGCAAGGAGAAGAAAAGGTCTAAACTTCGCTCGTTTGATCCATCCTGTCTGAACTATGCAGACCTCAGAGGTAAAGACGTTACATTTAGACCTTTTAAGCTTTCAATTTTTTGTTTACATGGTCTAAAAAGTGGATGTGGCAAGGTTTTCACATTTGACACCTTTAGTGTGTGACGTTTCGTAGCACAGATATGAGACACAGGCGGGAAGACATTACATCGCTACATTTGAGATTTTGTTGTTCAACAAGCCGTCTTTTGTATATATACATGGGCGACATGCGCTCACAATGCAACAGTCGACGTTGTTTATACATTTCTTTCTTTGTTTGGTTCTATGTTTAAGTTTGCGGACGCTGTCAGGCGAAGCATGTGTACTAATTATGGTAAAAAGAGCTGGCGCCAAAGAACAACCATTGATTTCAGCCAATTTTTTCCCCTCGATCTTGCGACGTTCGGCGCATTACCGCTTTGGGCGCTTTTTCGCAGAAGCCTTTGCAAATTTGGCCTTTTCCTTCCGAGGTGGAAGCTCTGCGGTGGAACGTTTTCGTCCCCGCTTGCGTCCAGCGTCTGGCAAAGTATTAAGATCTATACGAGGCGGCCGGGTAGGCAAAGTAAGTGAATCTATGAAAACAGTGCGTTCGCATTGGCCATGGCAGGCAAAGATAGCGCAAGAACACAGGGTGCCATTCTCAGTGTAGACAATGTCCTGGTAAGATCATAAAGCAACGAGAAAGTTACAGAAAGATTGCTGGAATGCTTTGGGCAAAAAAAGATTTAGGTTTAAGCGGCTGAATAACAAAGGTTCAAACCATCAAAAAGTCATATCGCAAAACGCATAAACATTGCTGTCTTGCCTGAAAGAAAGAACGCAATGCTGCAAGCTGCATGCAATCTTTGGAATCCAAAATGTGACTGTTGCGGCTGTTGTAGCCCACTGCATCCGAGCGCCAGCTAGGGCAGAATTTACGTTCAATGGGCATTTGGACTCCGAATGAATCATGGCCACAATGGTTGGCGATCCTTGCGCAATTATAAATGTAGTCGTTGGTGCTAGAGAGGCAAATCGCGCTGCACAAGTGCGCCCAGCTCGCGGGAGAGCGGTTTCACTGATAAGGCTAGGATCGATGTTGCGCTGCAAAAAAATTAGATAGTTTCGGGTTTGAGTTACCTTTGCGAGAAAGATGGTAGACTAAACGAACATATTCAATGAAGAGATGGTTTCACACAAGCAAAAACAAGCATGTATAAGCAGCGTGGGACAGGTTTAGTGAATGCAAGATGATGAAAAGATTGAAAAAGCATGGAGTAAGGACTGACTGTTGCGAACCTGGTTTTGGAAGTGGACTGGGGTGTCATTGTCCCAGTCACACCATGATGCCCAATGCTCGGAGTATAGCTTCTGCGTGACGGCAAGCACGTGTGGGATATTGCCTTTCCCATCCAAGGCTTTTAATCGAGTTTGCCACGGAGCGTGCAGGGCTTCAGCAGGCTGATTGCCAGAACCACTGCCTGGGACACAACCGTCACGGCCACCCCACATGCTACATAAACTGGAGGAGTGAAGAGGGTCAAGTTGCCCAAATCTCGCGTGTAATGCGGCAGGCAAGGGTCGTTCAAATGTGCGCAGCCATTCCACCAAATGTGGCTCGTCTTCAATCTGCAGCCTGCGAAGAAAAGCTTCCCAAACATGTGAGAAGAGGGGAAGCGTTGGCAGAAAGCGGAGCAAGCGAACAGCGGCATCGACCCAGCCCAAGTGGGCTTTGATCCACTTGCCATTTTGAGCTCCAGCTTGCGGCCATGGTGGTGTTCTGCTCTTGGGAGAAGTGGAAGAAGTCGTCGCAGCCCCGACTCTGTGGAAAGCAAGCGATCCTGGCCGACTCAATGCAAGGTTTGAAATCCTTGTGGAGTTGCATGAGGTAATTTGCCAAGGAAGGTCGCGAAGGGCTGGCACTGGCCAACTTTCCGAAACAACCTTTCAAAATTTGCATGCGCTTCTTGGTGGAAGATCGCCTGTGGGGAATCGTATGGCTAGTATAAGCACGACCCTGTGTGCGTTGTGGTTGGGCCCAGAGCCAGGAGAATGAGCCAAGGTGGTTGTTTTTAGACGATCTTTAGTCAAGATTGCAAACGTGGCCACACCATACCCTCGATCAGCAACCTTCATCTTAGCATCGACGGCGCAGCGCAAAACCTTGGTAGTTGCAACAGAGATTGACATGAAAACATGAAGCATGGCACTGCCTATATGAAATCTTTCAAACAAGAGCAGAAGCTGTCAACCGAAGCTGTAGGGATGAATTTGTAGCGCCAAGGTGTCATATTAAGTGAAAGATGTTTGCAATTGGTACGGAGAAAAGGCAATGCATGATTAACGTCACACAGTTTAACGTAATGTATCGACAACCAAGAAAGGTAGTAAGTAGTTGCGACAACGCCAAGCTGGGGATAGGCGTAAATGAGCTGAGCGTAGAACCTGGTGAGACAGGGTATATGAAAAAAAGAACGTGTACAGTAATATATATGTCTTGCTTTAGAAGTTGCACTGCACTCGCCATGAGAAGGCGCTAAAGGACTTATAATCGTGCGTAGAGAGAGTATGAGTTGCGGTTACTCTGCGAACTTATTACGCCGTTCATCCTGCGCACGTCGTCCATGGAGGTGTGGCTGCGCAGAAGCAAAACTTAAAAAGACCTGGTTTCTGCGGCAAGGATACACCGCATATTCATATAGCAAAAGCTGTCATTGCAGCAATTTGGAATGTTGTGTTTTTGCAAAAAAAGAAGTAGATTATATACACCCACGCATGAGGCAGCCAAAGAGCATCATCAGCGTATCGGTGCAGCTGCTGAAGCATGCACCGTCACTGCCCTGCTACACGGTCAAGTTAGTAGTGCGGCGGCCATGCAAACAGCGACGCTGCTCGCAGAAACTACCAGTTGTCCTTTTGCCGTGATGCTCATGGCTGCCAGCCACAGCTCTGCTACTCCAGTATAGCCTTGTTGGCCGACACCGTCGTTTCCGTCATGCACGGTCTTGTTCACAAAGATTTAGTTTAAAGCTAGATCGTTGGACCAATAAGAGCAGATATTGCTTCGTAGGCACTGCTGAAACGGGTGAAGGTAAAAGAGGGGCCATGAAGCCAGTCATCAAAATTGCCCAAGAAGTCTTGCGATCCAGGTCAGGTTCCATGCCAGGCTTCAGCCAAGATGATTTCCACATGCAACAATCATGCACCACGGCAACGGCCATCGACAAACTGCGACAAGCTGAGGGGTACCTTCTGTTACATAGCGATGAAGCTGGACAATGCCTTGATCTCAATTTCAGCGGTAGCTCTACCGGAGCGACGAAGAAGGGAGAGCACGTCGATTTGACCATGTTCCTTGACAGCGCACATGGAGATGAATTCA